GTACATATGATATCTCCACTAAACAGAACTTTACACTAAGAGCAACATTACTTTGGACAATTGGTGACTTTCCTGCATATGATATGCTCTCAGGTTGGAACACTTCAGGTAAGTTAGCTTGTCCATATTGTATGGAACATACAAAATTATTTACTTTAAAGTATGGTAGGAAGAACACTTGGTTCGATTGTCATTGAATGTTTTTACCTCCAAGTCATCCTTTCAGGAGAAATAAAGAAGTCTTTACTAAAAATAAAATGACGATGTTTCAAACTCCTCCAAGATATAGTAGTGAAGAAAATTTTGAAAGAGTTAGGTTCATGCCCACTATAATGGATTCTCTAATATTAGCTGAGTTCAGATTGCCAGGATATGGTGTCAATCATAATTGGACCAAGAAAAGTATTTTTTGGTAATTGCAATATTGGATAACAAACCTGATTAGACATAATTTGGATGTTATGCATATAGAGAAAAAATGTTTATTATAACAATTTTAATATAGTTATGGACATCAAAGATAAATCGAAAGATAATACAAAAGCAAGGATGGACTTAATGGAGATTTATAGGAGGAAAGCTTTGGAATTGATGGACAGTGGAGGTGAAAATTTTCTCAAACCAAAAGCTCCATTCACATTAACTTTAGAGTAAAAATGAGCAATTTGTGAATGGGTGAAGACCCTATGAGTACCTAATGAATATTCTTCCACTCTAAGCAGGTGTGTTTTCATAAGATCAGGGAGATTATTCGGATTGAAAAGTCATGATTGTCACATCTTCATGCAATGTATACTATCAACTGCTTTTAGTTATCTACCAAATCAAATTTTAAAGCCCTTGATCGAGCTAAGTGTATTCTTCAATGATTTATGCTCTTCTAAATTAAATGTAGAGGACTTGATTCTTATAGAGCAGCAAATTCCTTTCATTATGTGTCAACTTGAGAAAATATTTTCTCCAGGATTTTTTGACTCTATGGAGCATCTACCAGTTTATTTACCATATGAGGCTATGGTGTGTGGACCTGTTCAGTATAGGTGGATGTGTACTTTTGAGAGATATTTAAATAAACTTAAGAAGACAACTAAAAATAAAGCACGACACGAAGGCTGTAGCTGTGAAGCATATTTAACATACGAGATAACTCAGTTTTGCTCGTATTATTTTGAAATAATATCATAATCAAGTGAAAGTACAACACCTCAAAATGTTGGTAAATCTTTTAATATATCTGTATTCGATGGAAGTGGTGAACTTATAGGTGCTAGCACCGTGCGCAATTTGACAGATAAGAAGATGACAGTTATCACATTGTTTATCTCGCTTAAATGTGATGAAGTTGAGCCGTATCTCTAGTAAGTATGAGTTAATTTGTTCATCTTTTCATTATTCTTATAAACTTTGTTCTAAACTCTAACTGATTTGTAGGAGGTTCATTGATGATTTAAGTACATCAGAAGAAGGAGAAGTCCAGAAGATAGTGCAAAAAGAATTCACTGCTTGGTTTAAAAATATGGTATATTTTGAATAATTAGTCTTAATTAGTTAGTTATGTATATAATTAATATTAATAATAATAACATCTTGTTTATTTAAAGGTACACACTGAAGACAGTGATTCGTAGTATTCAGGGCTATTTGAGTTAGCTTGGGAACCAAATATATTAGTTAAATGTTACAAAATATTTGTGGTCAATGGTTATAAATTCCAAATAAAAAATTGGTGTGAAGGTAGGAAGACAGAAAATTCTGG